AAAGAATGCCTTGCAGCAGTTCTTTGAAGAAAGAATGTTTTGCAGCAGTTCTTTGAAGAAAGAATGCTTTGCAGCAGTCCTTTGAAACAGGGAGTGCTTTGCAGCAATTCTTTCATCAGGAAACATTAGAAAAAACAAAAAATCTTGACTACCACTTCCCCATGAACAGACTACCACTTGTCATGAACATGCCTTTAAGTGATTTGGAACCATTGGGCACCTGTGACATCATGCAGACTCTTCTTCTTAATAAACCCACATGCGGATTGAGGGGTGGAATCAAGAATAGACTGAGTCTACATTTCGTTGGAATTCCGGTGTTTCTGGTGGTTTTTGTGATGATGCTCCCGTTCCTTCCGTTTAGATCTGTCGATCGGCCCCGACAAACGGTGCGGAGCCGAGAACCGAGGCTTGCGTGAGCTCATGGGCGCAGCGGATTGCCATGGGGAATGCATGCAGGCGCCGGCTGGGCTGGGCGACCTGATGATCACTGCAACGTTGTACATGCCTCCTGGCCCACCACCGTCTTTCGGTTCGGTCGGCCAGGGGTGGGTGCCAGGTCCAACCACCGAACCTGACGATATGGGACAGGAACCCTAGGGTTTGTAGGGTTGCAAGTTCCTTTGAGAAGATGATTGGACCATCCTGGCGACCGCCTGCATCAAAGAGCATTAAAGAGTCGAACACATCACCGTACCGGTGGCAGTGGATCCAATAGTAGGTTGGAGGCCATTGCTAGTAGGTTGGAGGCCATCGCAACTAGGTTGGAGGCCATCGCTAGTAGGTTGGAGGCCATTGCTAGTAGGTTGGAGGCCATCGCTGTTAGGTTCCTTAAAGTCTGTTTTTTTAATATAATGGGAATAGGCGATTTAGCTCACCCAGACCTTCCAGACCTGTCCACCTTTGTGAGCGAGCGAAAGACTCACATATTTTATCGAGATACCTTGACCCCCAATTGTGGAGTGTTTGGGTATGCGTTGCAAACAAATGTGCCCTTCTTCACAAGATCAAGCGAGATTCCCAACTTGGTCCTGTACTCCATTTCATGGACATGTGCTTGCACCAGTTGGACTAGCCCCAAACTTCTTTGCAGGGAATCGAACCCAGAAAATAGTATATAATTACATGACATGGAAAGAACACATGCATGTCACGTCCTGTAAACAAACCGAAGAAGACAACCACCAATATCCAAGAATGCAACGTATCCAATAACAATATACTATACTCATTTAGCGAAAATCAAGTTCTAGATCACATGACCACCTGGGCCTGCCTATGATCAACTCCATCCGAAAAGAAACAAGGACACTGCAACCGCAACTTCACACCATCTCTCGGAACGCGTCGTTTCTTTCTACTCCGTCGTTTCGCAGGTGGATCGATATACCTGGACCACCTTCAAGGAATCGTTGGCTTTGGGGCGGCGGTAGGGTGTTTGGTTCTGCTCGTCGTCGAGTCGATCGAAGGTGAGCATTGGTTTGTAGATTCTGCAGTTTCATATCATGATTTGTAGGGCCTATAGGTAGGGCTTCCAACAGACGACCTCGGGTAGTTTGTGCGATGGACGTGATAGGGAAGGACGAACCTTCTCTAGAGTTGTGGGTGGAAGGATGCAACGGAATCAAAGAGATATCTGCGTGGCGACGCATCATTCAGTCGCACAATACTAGCTTGGCTGTGTGTTGTTTTTTTGGGGGTGGTTCCATGAATACTTCCATCTGTGTTTTCCGGTTGTTCCATGGAAAATGGGTTGAATTCCGCGACCAAACCGACTTCATGTCGCTCGTTTGGGACCAACGACCGCGCTGTCCCGACCCCCCGGGGACCCCTTCAGATCGGCCGAGGGCGTTCGGAAGAGCGAGCGGAGGTTGTTTTTGTTTCCTCAACTCCTCTGAGATCAGGTCAACTAAGTGGTGAACTATATCATTATCATATCATATGCTCCTAAATCCTAACTGTTAGTTAAACCACAAGTAACTATAGACGATTTGTAGAATTTGCGGTTAGTGACATGTTATGTTCATGCTTATTTAGGCAAATGGCCCAAGGCGAATGTCAAATAAGGCAAAGTATTGTTGTGTACACATTGCCAGAGTAAGGCAATGAAACACAAAAAGGAAAAGGTGGCAGAAGCAGAAGCAGCAGAAGCAGAAGCAGAAGTAGAGCAGAAGCAGCGAGGTGCAAGTGCAGACATATTCAACCCATTGCTGGAAAACTGTGTTGCAGGGACATCAACAAGTTTGGAAGCCTTTGTTGCAAAGAGTTCTCAGCCCTCCATGAGTGCTGCCGCCAACACCTGCTCACACCGGCTTTTACAGTGGCATTCTCGACAGATTGCTTGGAGCCAGATGAGACTTGGAGGCCAGAAAGAAAGCTTCCACGAAAAGCCACTTGAAAGCTTCGTGGTTGCGAAACACAGTCGAGTGGTCATGTCATCGACCGGGAGACATGCTCTGGCCAGTCAGTCACATCAGCTCAGGGACGGCTGGGCGCGGATGGGCGCCACTGCCCCGGATGGGCTCCTGTCCCACCTCCGTTTCGGTTTGGTGGTTGGAGCCCGCCCCCAACCCACCCCAACCACCGAACCGAAACGGAGGTGGGCCAGGAGCTCGTTCTTAGGGTACCAAAGAGCTGCAGGAACGATGCAGATGCAGAAGGTGCCGAGTGCAGTGCTGCACACTCACAGATGGATCTAACTAACCCGGACGGGCATGTTCAGGTTTCTGTAGAGTTTCTCTTAGCACCCCTTGTCCCCACATTCAAGGTTGTTACTTCAGCACTTTTGCGAAGCGCCCCCCCCAAAAAACCATCAAAGCAGAAGTCAGAAGTCATGTCAACGTCCAAAGCGTTGTTGCACCAACAAGAGATCATCTACCATGCTCCCACTTGTGGCCAACTTGCTCCCAACGACCTTGAATTCCAAAGGCTTCCACATCGCGGCCCGTGCCGAACGGATGTGGAAGCTCGATGAAGCTCGTGCCACTGTGGATGGGGATGAGACCGTGCCAGCACGTGCAGGATGATGTGGCTTGGTCCTTGTACGTCTTGGACTTGGCCTTCTGGGCCTATGCTTTCCTTCTGGTTACCTGGGATGCTTGGCGTAGAGAGGCGCCCTGCGAGCCTGTTTGGCTGATCCAACAACAGGGACCTCCCCTCACAATCAATACATCCGTTATAAGCATGGAAGTAGAAACCCACCTGCTTGTAAAGGAAAATGGTCATCATCTCACGGGGCCATGCCAGCCATGTTGGCCCATGATCCTGGAAGGAGGAAGTGTCATCGTCATGATGTCAAGGTCTTGCGGCGACTGAACTGTTCGATGGATTGCCCTTTGGAATGACCACGAGATTTCGACATAGCACCTTGTAGTGGTGACCTTGTAGTGGCACTTGGAAAAAATAAAAACAAAAGTTAAGAAATGACCTAGGAGAAGCGAAAGCTGAAGACGGTCCCACCCCTACAGGCAGGCTGGCTGAAGCTGTCGGTCCAGGCTGGCTGAACCGGTCCCAGTCAAACCTCAGTAAGAGTGGTGTTTGGGGTATGATCAACTCCAGTAATTACTATTGGGTTGGAGGCCATTGCTATTCATGTGGCCAAAACGGATCCGTTTTTGGGGCCTGTACTCTCCCTGGAACTAACATGGTTACGCGGAGTTCACCACCTGTTTGGTTCGTGGATTTCGTCTTCCAAACGGGGTCAGGCCATCCACGTAACCATGTTAGTTCTAGGGAGTGTAGGTCTTGGATAGATGGCACACAGCGCTCCGAGGCCGTGACGCTTTTCGTGTGGTCCATCCTGCTGTGGGCGATGGCGCCTTTGGCCTGGGGAAGGGCGAAACATGTGCAGGATTCGTACCCGGTCAGTGGATCACCTGCAACCTTTTTGGATGGGGATCCGGTTCCAAAAACGAAAAAACACCACAGGGAAACTGAGGGAAGTCTGGATTGAGTCCATAAGTAGCCTCCCGACTTTGTGCCTTTCTCAGGTGTTTTTCACGCAGGCCCTGCACAGAGGTGTGTTTTCTTGGAAACGCTCCAAGCGCGTTTGGCCCACTCATGAAGTCCAATCAGAGAGTCCAGGAGACCTCTGCGGCTTGCAACATGCACCCTCCTGCAGAGGAGCAGATGGACCCTGAAAAAGCATACCATCGGATCCACTTTCATGGTCCACGTGGTCCTTGGCAAGGGCTTTCTAAGTTGAATGTTTCGCCACTTCCAATGAGTCATGTTTTGCCACCTTGCGTCTTTTTTTCTACCACTACCAGGCACTACCGGAGTGGACTCTCAGGAATGTTGAGCAATTGTCCCCAAAAGAAGAGTCCTTGCTTGGTGCTAGGTGCCATATCATGACTTCTGGGTCTGATGTTTCTCTGCGGCGCGTCGACGCGAAAACACAGAAACATGCACAGCTGAGCTGAACAAGTGCAGAGCTAAAGAAACCTTTTGAGGGCTGTTAACGGCTGTTAGAACCCAAAGTGCTCAGAACTTGGGGCATAAGTGGCAGAGAGCATCTCTGAGCTATGACATGACCCAGAAAAGTCTTTCTGCTGATATAGAGGCAACAGGTGATCCTGATCTTCAGACCTCCGGATAGCTTCGGATGAAGCGACTGGAAACCCAGGGCCTTGCACGACTGGTTGAAAGGCCGGACTTGCTGGCTCTGGTGGTTTAGAGCTTCGTCCAACATGTCCTCTTAGGTTTGGCGGTTTTGGGATAGATCTATTCTTTCCAATCAGATCCATCCACCTGTATGGACATCATATTCTGGAGTGCTGTGAGTGTGTTTTTCTCAGGTGCTATTGGCCTTGTTGGGCATGCTGGTGGCGGGTGTATGTGCGACCTGTGGAGAGGCGAAGAAGACGTCGCGGCACGGCACGGCGATCTGGGACCAAAGCTGTTGAAAGCGTGGAACGTGCTCTTTGGTTTCTCGCAAAATCCTTCAAAAACGAAGAAAAAACGATGAACAAAAAGGGCACCACTAAAGAACTATGCCTGGCATAGGGTCTGTTGGCGCGTGTTGGAAGGAACTTGATACACTCCCAGGTATAGATTAATACTAAGCAAACTTCACTGATTGTTGTGGCGACCCTGAACTAGGTCCGCCAAGGGCTTTCGATGTTCATCCTTGGCCAAGCTTGGTGTCGACCGGTCTGCGTGGATTGTATCTTCCCCATGCCAAGAGTGTTTGCGAAACTTGGTTCGACCCCCCAAAAGATCGCTGTTCTTCGGGTCAAAAGAGTGCTCCATCAGGAAGATGTGTTCCCTCAATCTGATGGACTGCGCGGTGCTCCCCCGCGGTTTCTGCTTGCGCAGTCGACCCGGTCGACCGCGCTGTGCTTGGTGGGGCTCGGACTTACCGGAGAGATCGGAGAAAACGAACGGGGATCCCGAAGGAACGAGGGCATGTTTCTTTTGGTGGTCGTGTTTTCATCGAAACCAAGGACCGGGGGGCCGCCCAATCGCCCAATCGTTGGGCACTTGCACTGGAAACCGAAGGTTGCGATGGCCTGCACCTACAGTAGCGTCCTTGTTACTAGTAGTGAGGCCAGGAGCTATGTTCGTAGCGTCGTTGCTACGTTCGTTTTCGATGCCCTTTGTTCCGGAAAAAAAAACAACAAGATGCATTGGGGGGGTGAAGTTCCCCCTTTTTTTTCAAGCTTCCCCGGTCGATTCTGTTCGCCAGGGCGCTGGAGGCGTTGACTGTGGGAACTGCAACTGTGCTTGTGACGGCTGTGGCGTTTGCGACTGCTCAGGCGCGTCTTGACCGCTTCAGGGCGTCTTGGCGTAGCTCGCGTCGTGTTGGAATCACGCGGGAGCTCTATAGGCCCTATAGACACCTGGAAAGAACTGACGGGTGAGGCTCCTTGGCCCGGAGGAAGCCCTATAGGGGTTAGGAACTGACCTCTAAGAATCTGGGCCCGAACTTCACAGGTTTGGGGTTTTGAGGGCCCGGACTCCCCCGCACGCGTTTCGGTGGAGAAGGTCCGAGCCCTGCCATGAGGTCGGGCCCCTACGGATTCGTATCAGGCAAAACTGGAGTTGATCATGTAGGACCATAAACACGACGTTTTACTGAGGTTGACTGGGACCAAGGGTCATGGACCTGGGTCAGCCTGCACCTTTTTTTTGAATGGTATGGAATGAGTGAGTTCTAGGAACCGCAAACCATATGAGTGCATCGCTTGGAGTGAGTGTGCAGCACCTTGTTCTCAACTCCGACTGCTTTGCCTCAGTCATTGAGCCGCCGAAGGGATGTGAACGCGCCGGACTCGTTGAACCGACGACACGTGTGGGGACATGGCTGAGCGAGGGTGACATGGTGGGCCCGGGGCCCCTACAAGAGATAGCCTGAAAGCCTTACCCTAGGGATCCAAGTACCTTCTCAGAAGGTACTTGGGCCCTCCAAGCCTACATGAATAGTCTCCAATCACCTTCTGAGAAGGTACTTGGATCCCTAGGGTTAGGATTCGACATGATGTCGGTGCATGGCAGTGAACATGGATGAACTCCACCTAGTGAGAGCTGTGATATGTGAGAAACCACCGGGCAAGCCGTCAAGTCGCCGTAGCACCCGGGAGGACCCGTCCGATTCGCTTCCGAATGCGCTAAAGGATGCGACGTCCTTCGCGCCGAGCTTCGCGCCGAGCTTCGCAGGATGCACTGGAGCCACTGCAACGCCCGGCAGTCACTTGGCAGTCCAGCGAGCCGACCTTTTAAGTCGGATCGTCGTGGCCAGCTGAGTGACCCTTGAGTGTTGAAGCAAACATCCTAAAATCCCACCAACTTCCCCATCCAAACCGGGGTCTTGGGGGTTCTAGCTTGGGAGATGGACTAGCTAGCATGAAGCTATAGCGTTTCTGGAACAGCACATGGTGTTTTTTCGTCGAACTCGTCTTTTTGCAACAACCAAATCTACGAACGATCCATGGTGGCACAGATATATCCGCCTCATATCGCCGATGGCTTTTGGTGGTGGTTTTTAATGTCGGTCAACATATATACAAAACGACCAGACGTCATGGCCTTTAAAGGCACAGATTTCGGATGATGTTTCGTTGTGACATAGGACTTTGTCTGTGACTTTGTCACTTGCAGTTCTATATGGAACTCGTTTCTGCCGAAAACCGGTGTCGTCTCTTCGCTCGGCGACCCGTGGTATTAGAGGCCTGCGCCGAGCGCTGCGCCGCGTTGGCACTTGGGAGTCTGGAGGGCTTCAACTGACCCAAGACAGTACCTTGAGCCCAGACGATGACCCCTGTTTCGGTAGAAGGTGGTCCAGAGGTCGCTCAGCAGCCTCCTAGGTATCCCACTGCAGCTTTCTATCAGATTCTACAAGTCATGACCTCTTGGCCATTTCTGGGTCCATATTGAGTACCATATCCTTTGCGCACACATCCGGCCGATCGACGAGCAACGGTCGGTATTGAGATGTATGGAATCTACAGATGTAGACCCTACAGGTCAAGGACCTCATTCTGCCGGAGTTGGTCATACAAGACAATAGTATACAGTAATGTGGAAAAGGATCAGGCTTTACTTGGGGCCATTGCTCTTAGGTTGGAGGCCATCACTAGTAGGGAGTGATACTTATTAACTCTAATATGCAAGAGAGAGAGAGAGAGGTCATGACCATCATCGTTGCCGGGGGGGCATGGGAGCCGCAACATGTGTTCAAGTTGAGCGCCACTATACGCCACTTTCGAGTTCATGTTCCCAAATATGTGCCTGTGCCCCCCGCCACACACTATGAGAGATCCGAGTCATACAAATCTTCCATTGTTTGACCCGAGGTGTGGACTTCTTCTACTGGGGAGGGCCATACCCCTACTACGACTGTCAGTGTGCACCTGCGGGCGACTGTGACGGTTGCTGCAATTGCGGTTGCTCCTGGCGTCCTTCGGCTGCGAGTCGGGCGAGGCGACGAATGGCGAAAGGTCTAAATTGAAAGGCTCAAGATGCCTCTTTCGCTTGCAAGATGAAACGAAAAGGAACCACATAAAAAAAAGGTCTACGAAAGCAAGCACTGCCGAGCTGCCGAGAGAAGAGTGCTTAAGACCAAAAAGAAAAGGAACCAACAAAACAACGCACTTATCGGCCGATCATGGAACGAACATCTCACAGGACATCCGTGGTGGGAACCCCCGGGGACGGCGAGAAGGGTGTCCTTCAGGTGCGACCGATCAACACGGGAAGAACGGTCGACCGACCTCTGAAAGCGAGCTCGCAAAGAAGAAAGTATCATCCGGGACCTTCAGTTCGTGACCTCTTTGGAGTCTTTGTTTGTGACCTCCTTATAAAGACTATAGTGACCTCATTCTAGGATCTCAAAAGGTCACTTTGAAGGTCCTGGATGGTTGTTTCATATATTTGCTTCTCCCTGTTTCTCATTGTTTTAGGTTTTCTACGCTTTTGTCTCCTGAGTATTTTTGTTCCACTCGACGAAGAAGAAGAGAAAGAAGAAGCGCGGAGTGTTTCTTCCACGGGAGCAGAATTTGAAGGGTTCTGTGGAAAAGACTGTTTGAAGACATACTTCTAGATCGCTGAAGCCAAGATATGTTAGCAAGGTGTCCAAAATCCCTTCATGGAAAAAGTCCCTCGGGGAACGTCAGAGTTTCATCGTTCAGAAAAGGTATGTTGCGTTCTCCCCAATTGGATAGAAAGCAAGTACCAGGACCTTCAAAGTGACCTTTTGAGATCCTAGAAAGAGGTCACTTAGTCCGTAAAGAGGTCACAGACACTCCAAAGAGGTCACGAACTGAAGGTCCTGGTATAAGCCCTGGAAGATGGGTTTGAAACCTTACCTTGGATCAATTGCATCACCCTGCTGCGTTCACCCTGCTGCGGTCACGTCGGCGTGTTTCGTTCGGGGTGCTCGTTCTTCACTCCAGTTGTCAAGCACGGTTGCCGAGAGAAGCTGCTCCTCGCTGTACCCAGACACGACTAATGGGATTGCCATATATGCCGATCAATTGACCCCCAACACCACCCCAATGTAGGCAAATATGGCATACATGAAGTGTTTGGGGTATATGTCTGTGAATGAACAAATACGAAGACCTCCAATTCAATGGGTATAGCCGGTCTAGTTCCCGAAGCTTCCAGGGGGTCCAACTGGGAGGTCTCCTAACATTGTTCTTACTATAGATCTTATATAGAGTCCTATTTAGTGCAACATCTTTGGGAATAGCTCCCTTTCACACTCCGTGCTACTTGGTTTCCCAGAACGATGGCGTGTCTAAAACGGGGAAAAAACACCACATCCATCGCAGCCCATCGCTGTCCATCGACGTCTGATCGACTCAGGGTGCTGCTGTGCTTGCTGCTTGCCGATCGCTTGGATGCTGTGACCTGGACGCAGCACGGAAGCGTCGGACGACACCGACGAGGAGGACGTGCCGTCCTGACGCCGTCCGTCTTAGGGCGAGTGCCGGCTGGCGAAGGTATTCGAGGTGATACGAATTGCTATAGGCATTGGAGCAAACAGTAAGCATTGGAGTGATCAAGAGGCCACTTGGGGCGGCAAAAGCCGTAGAGTAAGCCAAGTATAAGCATCATTGGCATCAACTTGTTCATACGTAGGCCAGAACCCATTCAGACTAGAATGGGTAAGGTTTCAAGTTTGGGGTTGCTTGGTTTTGTTTGTACAGTCACTCGGCTGGAACTGAGTCCCTCCTCGATTCCCAGAACGCACAAACCATTCCAGCAGAATATAACATAGAAAGGCAGATAATGATCTTTATATTATGTTATTAAGTTATTAACATATATTTAAACCAAATAAGTATAAGAACAGAAGTTGTCAATGATTGTTTCCAAATCCCGCCGTGAGAGTTTCACCTTGGCTTCCACCATTTGGAACCTTGGAACTGCTTCGAAGAACATCAGACAATCCATTCTCGTCCAATCCCACCACGGGGTCTGTAGCCTTTCCCTAGGGATCCAAGTACCTTCTCAGAAACTTGGACCCTCCAAACCTACGTAGCAGTGTCTCCAATCACCTGAGAAGGAAGGTACTTGGATCCATCGCGGAAAAAAGCAAGAACAAAAACACGGTGTTTTTTCCACACAGATCACAGACCTCGCAAGACGTCGACAACAAGCGGATTAATCTTTTCCACTGGCGGCGTTTTTTTGCACTGGAAAGAATAAAAGTTCCAACGTGCAGTGCCTGTTCTGTCGTCTCAATTAAAGGGTCTTCAAATCAGGGCTGAAATCGCAGCCATCCACTTCCGCCAGTGGGTCAGTCAGGCAGCAACTTCGGTCTTTGGTCGTCCCGAAAAGCCATCATATGTAACTCTGTGGCTGTGGGTCCAAACGCGGGGTACCTTGGACCACAGATGAACCGAATGGCCTACCAGACATGGTCAACCCGGTGAATTGGGCTCCAGCCACCCACAGCCACATGGCGGTCGCCCCTTCGGTAGACCGGACCTCACGCCCCTTCAGTCGTCGACCGCTCGGTTCCGCCGAGGTTCGTCTTTCCGCGTCTTCCGGAGAACGCCTGGGGCGGCTTGGTGGGGCGGCTGTGTGGCACCCACGCCCTCACGGTGCGAGGGGGGGGGGTCGGAACGGGCGGGGCGGGCGCATGGTTTCGGGAGACCCGGGAGATGAGGGTGGGCGTTGATCTCAGGACGCCCCCGAGAAAGTAGTAGTAGTCGTGTCCCCCCCCCTCGTCGAATTCTTCTCACAGGCCATAAAGAAGGATCCTGTGCTACGAGGGCATTAAAGAAGGATCCTGTGCTACGAGGAAATAGTAGTAGTCGTGTTGCCCCCCCCCCCCTCGAAGTGGGAAAAGTAGTAGTAGCAGTCGTGGCCACCCCGCCCCTCTTCAAACCCTGCTTCAAGAAGGATCCTGTGCTACAAGGACCTTAAAGAAGGATCCTGTGCTACGACGCCTCAAAGAATCCTTCTTACCGGCCATAAAGAAGGATCCTGCTACAGATTTGTGCAGTAGCCCTAGCTATGTAAGATTAATAATGTAATATCACTTTGCAGAGTTTTTGTTCATCCGCTGGTCCCTTTGAAATGTAGTGGTTTGGAATTAAATTCTATGCATTGACCGACCTTTGTGGGGCATCATGGTCTTGAGTCTGAGTGACACTGAATGTATTTCATGTTCATGGCGAACCTGGCCTTGTTACACTGCTCGAACCTGTGCTGCGAGGGCCTTAAAGAAGGATCCTGTTATGCTACGAGGTCCTGAATGAAGGATCCTGTGCTACGAGGGCCTTAAAGAGGGATCCTATGCTACGAGGAAATAGTAGTAGTCGTGGGCCCCCCCTGGAATTGGTAAAAGTAGTAGTAGTCGTGACCAAGTTGGAGCATATTTTAGGTGATTGGTCCCAAATAGGGGTCGATCCCAGCTTCTAGGTATCAGTATACTCAGTGTACCAGCATCCTCCAGCAGGTCTCATCGCTCGAGGGTTGGGAAGGGCCCCAACAGGTCTCAGTTGGTGACTTGGCAGTGAGGATGCTGGTAGATGGACAAAAGATTCAAAATGATTCAACCCCTGAGTCAGCAACTTTCACAAACCCCCTTACCCCCAAAGTTCAATGTTGAAGAATGCAACCTCCTTCAATTTAAGCTGCCAGGGTTTGATTGTTTTGTCCATTTGCCCAAGCACTCTGGCAGGCGAACACTTACTGTAACTTTGAGGTGGGAAAAGAAAGGAGGTAGCTCCAATCCATGTGTCATGTGTATATGCAGTTAAATATATATATATACATACATACTCACTTGATAATTATACACTTGTGATGTTGTGTCAACTAATAGAAAAGTTTCTCCAGCCCATACACCCCTGGTATGGTAAGGCAAGACATGTTTCAATGTATAGTTGATCTACAGTTGATCCATGTGCACTTTTTGACCGCATAGGTTCGTTCATAGGTTTGTGCCTTTTGCATTGAAATCGACATGCAACCTTTCAATGTAGAGCTGCATCTTCAGAAATAGCAATGGACGCATTCCATCCAGGACCTTTCATGGCCGAGGTGTCACAAACGAACTGTTTGGCTCAAGACGATTCAACGATACAAACTGTACTTGTCTATGAGGTGATCATCGTGCGACCCACGGCTCCATGGCACCCGAGGATCATACGCGAGAAGATCCGTCAGGTGAGCGTTTGGTCGTGAGGTCGATGTCTCCGCTGGAGCTACGATTTCTCCGCTGGAGCTCATGAAGTTGGGTCGGGTCATCAGAGCACGCAGATTCAACACTGATCGGCAGACGCACGCGCTTCGAGTTCTGGATGCGGCCTTCAGCGCAGGACCTCGTGCGCAACTTGACAAGTGAAACAAGATCATTTGGTTCCATATTGTAGAGCAATGGCTGGTGCTGATAGCCAAACTCTTTTGGATGACCTAGATAGCCAAGTGAGGGTGTGGCCTGATGCAAGTGGAACCCAAGCTGATCCAGCTACCCCATCTATTGAAGCTTTTGCAGCTTTTGTAGACCCTGATCATGAGTCAGCATCTCATACTGAGCCAGAGAACGAGCTTCTTATGAGAGAAGCGTAAGGCGGCGGTCCGGCAGTGCGTTGGATCGTTTTTACACAGGTCTCGGCCCACATATCACGCCAGCGACATTCCGTCAGTGGTCGAGCACTGGAACAACCAGTCAGATAATTGCTCCCTATCCTATCGTCCGACCGAGCTGCTTCTATGACACCTCCCGCCGATATTCCTGCGAGGAAATGAGGCACATCGTTGATTTGAACCGGAGCTACATGGCAGGCTTCTGCCCACCCCTCCACCGCTCCTCGCGCCCCCGAAACCACCCTGACAAAGGGTATGGCACGAGCCCTGGGCAAATTGCAAATGAGCCAAGTGCTGATTGGGTTGGTTGTCTCTTTCTGAAGACTTTCATTAGTCATTCGGCTTTCGGACGAAGAGGCTCGTCTCTTGATACAAGTAGCTGCTCTATGGCCAGTGCCTCAAGGGAAGTGTTCGACATGGGCCGTACCGATCTTGGATACACTGTTCTTTTGTTGGTTTTCTTGCGTCTCACGGAGTGGCCGGCTGTACATCAGTGCGGATGAAGTTCATGGTAGTCCACAATGTGTCCACATGTTTGAGGCGCTGTTAAGGGACTTGAACATTGATTATGGTGCAGCTGTTGAAAATGCTGAAGACCAACTCAATAATATGTTGGGTCAAAACCAAAGCCACATAGTCTGTGGATGGACCCAAAACGTCCCCTGTGGACCAGCGACAGTCTAAGACCAACGAGCAAACCAAGGTGATTTCAACCTTGAAGATGCAAAACTCCTCCGTTCCACTGAACATGTCTCAGTTTTGCTGTTAAACATGGGCGACGTTAACCGTTGAAGCGCGCTTCGAGCGGAACATCTTGGGATCGTGAACTTAACTCGAATTTGGCTGTTTTGACTGGTGCATATGGAGACCAGTGGAGACTTACGGCTGATGTCAACTTGCAAGCTTATTTTAAAGAGAAACTTATTTAATATATATATATGTGTACTAATGCAAGTGCAATTGTGTAAAACTGTTGTTGGAAGCTTCTAAGGGCGCATGCAGAGCTAGGACTGGTGGCAAGTACACAGGCAGAGGCCGTTTTACTTTATGACATGTTTCTGCTATCCTTTATTGCAAGTTCTCAACCTAAAACGAAGAGGCACCAAGTTCAGACTCCTTTTTCAGAAGCCGCCTTCAGAACGTTTAGAGTTTAGCTGTTGTTCGTTCCAAGATCTCATTAAGCCACACCCGCTGCTCAACAAGAAAGTGAACTTATCATATACAAACACATATTTTTTTGAGCGCAGGTGTGCTTGGGAGAGCACACACTAACTCAAAACCTTTAGTAAACACTGTAAATTCCGTGCAAAGTTTCAATAACTGCTCTGGGATCTAGGTGAAACGCATATTCTTCAACCTTTCTGTCCCCACTCTCAATGCGCAATGTCAATTACAACAGTTAACAGCTCTTCGTCTGCCCACTATCAATGCGCAACGCCAATGACAAGTAGGTTAATCTTTCTCTGCGCGCAATGAATGTAGCATCATGATCATGAGCGAATATACAATACTATATATATACACACATCAAGATGAACATGGTATGTCAATGATATTGCTTTAGTCTCTTGCTTATGTGGCTTTTCATGACGTATTTTTACGTGTCCTTTTTGTAGAAAACATCTCCCGGGAGTACCCGTATTGTTAATGAACAGAGCCCTCCCCCCTCACTTTGACCTTGAGTAAAGTTCGTTCCAGACTCTAAGAAAGGAGTTTAAGAAGTAAATGAAATGAATCTTTACTTAGGAGATCACAGAGACTTCTAAGAAAGCAATTTAATAAGGAAATGAAAAAAAATGATTAACACAGAAAGGAAATTCTAAGAAAGGAGTTTAGCAAGGACATGAAATGAATCTTTACTTAGAACAGACAGTGAATTCTAAGAAAGGAGTTCAATAAGGGAAGTGAATTTTTACTTAGAACAGAAGGGGAATTCTAAGAAAGTAGTTTAATAAGGAAATGAATTGAATCTTTTGTTAGGTTCTTAGAGCAGGCAACAAACATGATTAGCTTTATTTAGGGTATGGTGGCTTCATGAGGCGTAGCCTTTCCAGAGGCGTTTTTGATCAAATTTCAATTGATTTTAAGTAAGGGTGTTATAAAGAATTTTCTACGCAGGACTTGCGTTTAGTGACACTGTCGGAAGCACAGTGGCGCCATCGGCAAAAGCCGTTGTACGAACCCTGAAATTTCTGCAACCGTGGCAGAAATGCGATATATTAAAAAGACTGTGCAACCTATCACGAATGTCTGCTGCGCGACAAATTAAAAGAAAACAAAAAACAAACAATCACCAAAAGAACAACCAAACAAAAAACAAAAATAACAACAAACAATTAACAACAAAAAAACTAATGTTTGAGACAAAATGGATGCAAAACCCCAAAAAAACAAACAAACAAGAATCCAACTCCTATAGTACCCCCATTTTCTCTCAAACTTTGTTTGTTTGTGTTTATGTTTTTTGTTTTTTGTTTTTGGGTTTTTTGTTTTGTTGTATTCCTTCAAAACTGTTAAAACTGTTACAAGCCTGCCCCTCACAAAATTGATCTAACAATAGCTGAAATGCTAGGTTTTGCTGATGTTTTAGCCAAAAAATCACTGTAAAACACAATGTGTCCCCTCTAAACTGTTATAGGCCTGTCCTCGCAAAATTGATTTAAAAATAGCTGAACACCTAGGTTTTGGTGATGTTTTAGCCAAACATCACTGTAAAACACAGTGTTTTTAACACGTATTGCACAAAAAACATCTCTCAGGAGCACCCGTTCTTAATTTTTTTGGGGGGGGTAGAGGACGCCACTAGGAGCAAAGGGCATCGCTACTAGGAGCGAGGACGCTACTAGGGGCTCCTGGCCGTACTACTAGGAACAAGAAGCTACTAGGAACAAAAGGCATCGCTACTAGGAGCAACTGGATCGGCTGACCGGGATGGTCCAAACTCATTCACTCGTGCTTCACTCGTGACCGGAGGCACCGGAGCGCTTGTACCAGGGCGGCAACTGCTTCGTGGAGTTCTTGGGCATGTCTTGGCGAAGAGGACGACGCCATGTACCAGGGTGACAGGATGGTGACCTTGAAATCATGGGTATTGGTGGAGTGAAAAACACCACCAGTGGTGGTATTCGGATCTCTTCGTTTGGTCATCCGAAAGATTTATAATGGGACTGGCATATTTTTAACCCATATTCACCCATGAAACATTCTGAAACCATCATCATCAGCATCATCATGTATGTAAATGCTCCATAGGTGGAGTATGGTGGAGTGTTTGGGATGATTGGAGAACACAACATCTTGTAGCAAATGTTTTGCTCAGTGAAGTATCCATGGAGGTCAAGGTTGTGTCGGTGGGCTCAATCTATACAAACCAGCTGCAGGATTCTGCAGATCTGGATAAACTTGCTCGGTTTGTTTGTCAAAGCATGACGATCTTTCGGTTTACACTCCCTGAAATAGTCGTGGAAGTGGATGGCATAACCCCTTGGATAGACAAGCTGGCGGTTTTTCACTTCCGTGATCATTTTAGGGAGTGAAAGTGTTTAGTTTTCCACTGCGGCAGCCCTGATTCTGTACCCCAACAAGTTGTGCCATGGGCGTGTTGCGAAGTTTTGATCCATGAGACAATGCCTCAAAAAACCATCAGGACCCTCTCACAGTGGGTATGATGGAAATGGGGGACGAGAAAAACCATCCACAAAGTCCAGGGGCAAAACCAGCCAGTTGCAAGGATATGCAAGGATTAATGTGTTTGATTGTGTTTGCATAATATGTAAAAACAATAATGGACAAACACATAACAAAATAACAGATTACATGTAAACAGATACATCTATAGATGCCTAACATAGCATATATTAATATAGTAATTCATTCTAGATGGTAGATCTGAACTGCATTGAAGGCTACATCGAGTCTTGGGGCCGAACAAAGGACGCGGTTGGTGGGTCCAGACCGGACCCTGGAGCCTTTTTCAGAGCGGTCAGGATCTGACCTCCACGCCGACGCTGCTTGGAGGTGGGGGGGGTGGACGATCTGGCGGATCCCATGTGCGGCAAAGAAGCGAAAGCAACGGACATCTTCACAGCTTGAGCAGAACCCAGCACCAAGAAGACCAGGCGTCGGGCCAATGGCTGCATGTGAAGCACGTGAGGTCCAACTGAGCATCAAATGAAGCTCATGTTCGTGAGAAGCAGATGCTTGCCAAATGTGCACATGGAAGTGATTCCCTATGGATCCCACATACTCTCTGGAGAGGAGGGTCAAGTTCTGCCTTCTGAGGAGGTGGCAGTGGATCCCTAATGATTCAGGTACATGTGGTTTCAGAGTACAGTGCTTTCCAGGTCGGGTTTATGAACTTCGGAAGGCAATGATGTAAGCAAACAAACAATACCAGGACCTTGAAGGGGTGTCCTGGCTGGAGATCCCGGATAGTAGTCTACGCTGGGTGGTTTCACCAGCCTTGTTTGATATGTCTTGGATCATGTGGGTCCCGGGAGACCAGCTGATCGGAGAAGGGGGAGACTGGAAGAATCGAGGCCATTGGTTTTGGGTGGCGATGAACCGTGAGATTGCTGGCACCCCTTTGGGTGGGCACGATCTGCTCCCAGGGAAGCTGTCTACAACTTTCTGGCTCCTGGCAGCTCGGTATGTTTGAAGAGCCCTATAGGAAGGCCCATGGCAGGGGGCGGCTGAGAGGCGACAGCTGCTGTCGGAGCACATCTCCCAAGGTAGGGCCGGAAAATGATCCTTTTTTGTTGGCAAAGCAAATGTGTCCAATGTGACACAATATCCGACAGGGTCAGGAACTGACCTCATTTTACTGCTAGTTCCTAGGAAAACCACCGACTGAGACACCTTACGGGGCCATGGACTCCGACCTGCCTGCATTGCGGTCCCTACTCTGGACTGGGCCAGGCAGACGTTGATACACTTCATCCCCGGGTTTGCAATCGACTGACCCAGACGCGAACCAAGGATCGGAACCCAAATCCTCAGGTCTATAGGGTCTCCAATCCCGGGCTGTGAACGGAGCGTTTGGGGCTCAACAACTAAGGGGGAACGGACCGGATCGTAGCAATCCCAGGCTTGGGCTTTGCGATCTTAGTGAGAACTCCACTTGAGGCATCTACAGTAATGACCTCCAACCCAATAGCGAATGGCCTATGATCCCCAAACGCCGCCGACCCACGTCGCTGGTGAATGTGCCCAAGCTCGGACGCCGGCGCCTTCGGGGGTCCGGTGTCCATTGGACTTCTGAGGTCGTAGCGATGAGAGCGAGGTGGGAGGAGCTCAACCACGGCCGCTGGTGCAGGACGCCGGGCCTGTCCGGGCCGACACGTCAACGAGGGAAACCCAAAGGAACGAACGGGTTGTTGGTGTTTTGTGTCGGTGTTCCTTCGAGGAGGGACATGCTGCATAGGATCCTGCATGTTTCTATGCTTTCCCGAATGAAATGAATCCCCAATGTGGTGGCATATAGTACCAGCCCCATGAATGAAGTGGTTGGGATGTGTAAAAGAAACTGCTCGGTTTCTGAGGCAAAGAATGAGGGAAAGAAGTACAGTGGTTTCACAGTAGATGGCACAGACCTCAAGATGTCCTTTGCATGGGAATTTATATAAACCACCTCTTGGGGTGTGTGCCATCTACTCTCAATCCACTATAGGTCTAAAGAATTGGAGACATCTTCTGGGTTCGGCACCGGGTACTTCTGAGCGACGTTTCGACGAGAGGAAGGGTCTTGGCTTGGGGGTCTCAACTGTAAATCCTGAACGAGTCTCCAGAACGACCCAAGAGAAAGAGCAGTCGACGTGGACTCAACAAACGTGATTCTTCAAATATTCTTCTACCAGGACCCTCCAAGGGGTGCCCTGTCTGGAAGCCTATAGGTAGTGTGGGGTAGTCCAGCCAGGACACCCCGACAGGAGGGTCAATGGACGTTGTTTTGCCATTTTTGTTGGTGACTTTTTTGGTGAAGCCCACGACTGTTGGTGAAGCTCATCTCACGGTTCATCCACTGCATTGATGTTCGAAAGCTTTGGACGGATTGGCCTTCTGAATCCACGTAGACGTAAGCCTGCCTAATCCTAATCCACTGAGCTGGGTCCTCTTTTGCCAGACAAGCAAAACATCTGTTTGCCAACTGAGTTGCTTCTTTGTGGGTGGCATGCCCCGTTGGGGACGGGCCGAGAACCGATTCGCCGGCCGGACTGGTGACTTTCCCTCACCCCCCGGACTCATCCGATCGCCTCGGGGCCCGAAGGACGAGTTAGCCCGAAAGGGGTCTGGGTCTGTTGGGGTCCCTTGCTCCGTTCGTAGTGCCAGGAGCCCCTATACCGGCAGTCATAAAGGGGTGGTATTTAGTCCCTAAGTGAGTGGATAGTGGGCACCCCTAACCTCCATGGATCGCACCCCTTTGTGACTGCTGGTATATAGTAGCTTCTTAGTTACTAGATAGTAAGGGTCTACCAGCACCTTCAAAGGGGTCACCAATGGAAGCCCCTACACTATTAAGGGACCTCCATTGGACACCCAGGGTCTAGGTATGTTGGGATCCCTGGAGTTCGGAAAGGTGTCTCCCCGAAACGCGGTGACCGCAGGTTTGCGAAGGAATCGAGACCCGAGATTGCTGTATTTGTTCCAATTTCGGAGACCCGAGATCTCGCCCTGGTTGAGGACACTGGCCTATGTTCCGAACCGACCGAACCCCTTTGCTTTTCGATCTGAAAGGTTTGCCTATTTGAGGAGCTACAAGCCCGGATTGTGTTGTTGTTTCTTGGTGCAGGCAGACGGCACCTTGCGCAACGTCGTTCCGATTGGCCGCAATGGGCATGCCATCCTCATCGAAAGGCACCGTCGCGCGGTCGCGCATGCGCGACCGCGGTACGGTCCTTCAAAGCGTTCTGCATGGGCTGGAGGTACTCTGCTCCTTGGCCCGGTTTGGCCCAGTTTGAGATTCTCAAGGCATGAGAAGTCAACCAGCGCACAATCACTTCAAGTTTTGAGAAGTGAATGTCTTAAAATGTGTCAAATTGAAGATCAAGTGAAGAATCACTTCTGAATTCGAATCTGAACATTCGCTGAACTCTGAATGGCGAAGCAGAGAATTAGCTGAATGGCGAGTCTGTTTGTGGGTCCGCATGGGGGGAACATCCATGTTTGGGGGCCTCTTCTGTGGTTCTGCCGGGCACGGTTTCAGGCGCCCCAGGCTCCATCTGACAACAGGGGGCTCGGATCGTCAGTGCGCCCTTCATTGTTTGAAACACCCATTCTGGGAATGGTCTCCTCAGAATCATCCCGGCAGGCCCCAAACGTACGTGGAGTTTTGAGGTTCAAGAGGTCGAAGGTCCATGGAGAAGCAGGTCTAGAGATCGAACGACGTATTGGGTTCCAGAGAGACCTAGAGGTCTAGGGGTCTAAGAGATCCAGAGGTCTAAGAGATTTAGACAGGTTTAGAGTTCTAGAGATCCATAGTAATAGGCGTAGAGGTCTGGAGATCTAGAGGCGTAGAGATGTCTGGGAGTTGCAGAGGTGGAGGGCTAGAGATCCAGAGGTCTCTAGGTCTGGAAGTGGTGTTCTACAGGTCTCAAGCAGAGGTGTAGGATTTCTAGACAGATTTAAGGTATTAGCTATCCATGATGCTTACAGGGGGTTCCGTGATGCAAAATGATGCTAAATGCTTTGCTGGCACCCTTATGAGCTTCAAGTCATTGCTGAGAACCCCTAAGTGGGTTCATTCAGTGAGCTTGGCCCACCACGTTCATAGAAACATTGTATTCAAACGGCGTGTGTCCCCGTCGCAATATTGTTGGAGTCCGGCAAACCTTTTTTGGCGCGGCTTGCAAATCCAGGTATGGCGATATAGAGTTTGTTCCGTTTCGCCCGGCTTCCACCCTTTGGATTCAATGCAATGCGTTCAAGGGGCTTTGGCTGTGCCCACCTGATGTGGCAGCCAGGCCCTTTGACAAGAAGCTGGATGCCTGTGTGCAGAGCTTAAGTCTTCGTGGGATTGGTTGCCTCTGTGGCAGCTTCAATGTGTTTCATTTGCAAGAGAATTCGAGGTCTAATTCAACCGGTCTTCGATTGCCCAAAAAGTCATTGTGTTTTCTCCGGTCAAGCGCTTCCAATGCAACACTTGGGAAGATGTCCCTGTAAGGAACCCAAGGGAAAGTCCAAGGGAATTTCAATTTGATTCTAGCAAAGAGCATTGCTACGAACCGTTCGCGATCGGACGCGAACCGAGCGGGGCACTCCTGGCCTTACTGATTCAATGATTCGGACAGAAATCCTCAAGACCCCTTAGGTGATCGGCTGTGAAACAGTTTCAAGTCGTACTCCAAGGGTGCTAGGAGATGTTGTCGTACTCCTCCCGGAGTGTCACTCCGATGGTTATTGGACGGTGTTGTTCCAAAGCTTTGCCCTCGAGCTTGATGTGGCTTTCACCGCTGGTTGAGTGACGCGAGTCACTGAGTTTGGATTCGTTTCAGATCTCAAAAATCTCCCTGTGGCTCCCTGTTTGTGATGGGTGTTGGTCGAACAAAGGGTGTGCCAAATGAGAGCATGGACTGTCCCAGACTGAGAGGAGAGATTCGGCGGCTTCGGGGAGCCACGCAGCATGAGTATGAACATCTGGGCATGACCACTCTTGGAGCCCGCCTCCTAGGCAGAACGACCTACTCCACAGGTACAACCTACCTACTGTGCAGGTAGTACGTTGTGCAGGTATTCCACCTGTGTCGCCCACCCACTGCACAACGTATTGCACCAGGTGGAATCCTCGTTCGCCGACTATGCCGAGAACAAGTGCGGGCCTGAGAACATGGTGTAGCATGTCGCGGTGTCGTTGTGATGTCTCTACCTTCCATCCGTTATAAACAGCCTGTGTCGATTTTCCAGGATCCGTTTGGCATAGGCCGAACGACCGGGTTGCTGTTTTCAAAGCAAATTTCAGTGGTGAATGGAAGTCTTCTCCCATTTTGGGGTCAAGATGATTTTTGGGGGGGCGTCTCACTGGCTGATTCCTGCCCTTCTCATCATATAATATATATATATATTATATATATAATTATGTAATATATCATCCGACAGCTGTCTTTGTCAAAGGGACTCATTATGACTCATCAAAGAAATATCACATGAAAGAACCGAAGAACGCTTTTAGACTTATTTTGTTTGTTTAGACTTCTTTTGTTCAATTCTTTTATATAGACTTCTTTTAGACTTCTTTTGTTTGTGTTTGCTTTACCAAAAAACAACTGATCGCACGGGAGGGAATCGGTACTAAAGCAAGGTATACAGATGCACCTTTAGTCAATATCAGTAATGAACATGGAGTTACAATGAGTTACCTGGATTCACTTAGTAATTGATGTAACATTCATATCTGTTTTTTTTTAAGGCAGCAATGAGTGACACTTATCGTGCCAGCTGCAGCCACGCTTGGTCAATTGAAAGTCCGGTCTCGCCTACAGAGCTTCCCGGCGAGGCAGATCTCATGTGTTCATTCCATCCCTATAGGGATCCAAGCACCTTCTCAGAAGGTACGACTGGACCCTCCTGGCACCTACATAACAGTACAGTCTCCAATCTTTAGGGATTTGCATATAGTAAATCAATGTAAATCACATGTTGATAATCTTAGAGATTCAATGGTTTTTGTTATCCATATGGTCCATAGTTGTTTCATTTAGGGCAACTACCTTCGCCTTTTCGGGCAAAAATGCACAGTGTGAATCTGAAGCCCGTGGTCAGCAACAGGAAGCTACTAGTAGCTATTTGCTACCAGTAGTAATGGGCTCCAACCTACTAGCGATGGCCTCCAACCTAGTATAGTAGCTATTTGCTACTATGTTTCTTTAATCACCTTCAGGTCCCTCCAGGGTTCGCAGTCGCACCGTCTAAGCAGCTTTCAGCAACGCCAAGATCGGTGGTTGATTTGGACCCGGTAGAGCTACGTTCGGTTCGCGCCCGTTCGCAGTGTCCTCTTGTTCCCAGTAGCAAGGCCTGTAGCGCGCCGTTCGGTTCGCGTCCTTGCTCCTATCTAAAGACATCTTGGGGGTTGCGCCATCTACCCTGAAACCGCTGTAATTGCTTGAGAACGACACCGCAACTTGCTGTTGGTGCGGTTCCGTCGTGATGCTGAAATATGACACCAATTTGTGAAAGATTCTAATCGCTTTGGTCTTTCAAATCCTGAGGTGTTGGATTTGCCAAGACGACCAGCACTGTCACTTGGCGTTGAATGACCAGCAGGGTCCATTGCAAGTGAACCGGGGGAGCAGCATGGAACATTGGAAATATTAGGTCCTTTTTCTAACAGTGTTAGCTCAAGTGGGTTTCTTTGGATATGAATTAGTTTTTTTTCTATAAGAGTGATTCCTCAAATATGTCATTCGTATAGAACAATTGGGTGTATTTTTTTCGAACAGTGTTTGCCGAGATACAATTTTTCGGATGTGTTAGTTGATGGAAAGCATGTATAGAGCATAGCATTCCTTGACGTCTTCTCATGCATCATGTGTCACTCATCATTTTGCCTACGCGACTTTGTATTTGGCTCAAGCACTGCGGAAAAAGGCGTTTGCGCGTGGTGCTTGCCGTTGCTACTAAACTACCAACTTTGGCTGTGGTTGGTGAGTTTAACTGGTTAACAGCCTCAGCTATTGCATTTTCATATTCGTCATAGGATAGCTTTGAGCCAGCTTTCCTGTGGCAACCCCGCCACTGCTTGTGAGTCTCAATACCTGGATCCAACATCGAGTTGAAAGGGTCCTTCTTGGGATAAGCACGTAGTGTGATTTCGGCATCCATTCGTTCGTCAGGCTGCCGTCAACAGAAAGCCGAGTTTCAGTTCCAAGGACTGCATTTCGGGCCGTGGGGCGTTGCTTCTTCAGCAACACCACTTCGTAGGATAGGATCCGAGTTAAATCCATATTGGAAGAGACTAGTTTGATCGCATCGTAAGATAGCCTTCACTAGCTCAAGGTCAAAGATCAACTAAAGTGCAGAACTCATAGAGTAAGGAGCTTAATTTGGTGCATTTTGCCGATCCCTGGTGCTACACCCAAAGGTTTGCATTGGTGTGATCTTAAGCTCATTCACTGAAAGAAGCAAGTCGTATTCGTTGCATTGGATCAAAGGAGTTAGCTACTCTTGTTTCACTGCACGCCACCTCGTTCGCTGTTCGGCGTTGAATGCGAGCTCGCTCTCGATCCCCTGCTGTCGCCGCTGGCACACCGCTTCAAGACGTTGGCAGGCGGCTCAACGAAGCTTTAGATCGGTACAAGAAGGTCAAAGCTGAGAAGCGAGCAGGAAAAGATTTCCAGAGACGCCGCAAGTCGTTGGTCTTGACAATCCTTGAATATTACATTCATCTTGTGCAGATCGGTGTTGCTGCATCAAACGGAGATAGAAAGTATATCAGGCGATTGAATCAGGCTCAGGAGACTTTCAGATTGGCGAAGGAGGAGAACAAGTTGCCTTTGCGATCCGAACCAATTCTCCCTCGAGTGGAGGACGACGACGATCTTGAAAGCCATTGTGCTGAGAGCGTCTATCAGCCACTGTCGGAGGACGAACAAGAGTTGGAGCAGGACTTTGAGGGACCTCTCGTTCCACAGGGAGCTTCAGAGTCTTCTTCAGTTGTTCCGGTGCCCATTGCATCTTCAGTGACCGGTAGGCCGGCGGAGACATTGCTTGCGTTGCCAAAGGCGATAGGATCAAGGCCAGTGTTTTCGCGGTTGTCACAGAACTTGCATTCCGCTCCGAGTGTTCTTCCGGATCCGCCTAAGAAGGCAAAGCCAGTGTTGAAGACAACTTCAAAGGGTAGTTTGCCCCAGAAGGCAATACCGCCAGTAGTGTTGCAGACAACACCAAAGGTGCGTGCAGCAGCAGCATTACAGACGACACCAGAGGTATTTTCTTTATTCCCGATTGTTGTCCGTGACACCGAGCCGATTGATTGGCACTATCTTGACGCGAACAGGGTCGAGTTGTACAGTGCACAGGGTCAGAGGATTCGTCCGGCGAGCCGCATTGATCTTGGAGGCACTGCAGTGTCATTAGACTTTCACCAGGTGTTGGACACATTTCGTGAGGGGAGCTACGCGACATATCCGACTGCGGAAGAGAACGGTGTTCCGGCTAAGTCTCGAGCAGCGATTGACAGATTGAACCGATTGGGGTTCAGCACATTGGTGACTTCATACGTGCATTCGAACTGGAGAAGAGATTGCGTGTTGAATTCTTCACGGACACTTCCCGTCCGCTACATCTTGATCACTCGAGAACCGACTGGTCAGGGTGGAAAGGCAGACAGTCTCGCGAGGATCTTCACTGTTGGGAGAGACAGGTCGATCATCCACGTGGACGACAAGAAGGAGATCTGTGTTGAGTTCAAGAGGTACTGGAATCGAGACATAGGGATCGCTCACATCCAGGTACCTCGCAAGCCTCGGCCGGAAGGTGTGAAGTCATTCAAGAACGTTGATCGCGTGGCAGAGGCACTGGAGCAGGAAAAGGCTGCTCAGGCCGGATATCAACGACGCTAGTTGGTGTGCGCTCTCTATTAGGTTTGTGATTTGTGGAATTTGTGGTTGAATCCAGCTTGAAACATTGTTCAAACAATTTGACTTGAGCTGTGGCAGTCCCATCGATTTCACAATCATATTTGCATCAAGAGTCCATCAACTAAATCACAAACGAGAACGTGGCCGTTCCTTTCGAGGGACACCGCTTTGCAAGGTGAATCCCAGTCCGCTTCGCGCGTCAAAAGTGGGATCATCCAAGGGTCAGTCTGTGCGAACCATACTTCACTTGTAAAGCAACTGTTGTAGTGTAGCATTTTGCTCGTGTTCCCGATTGACATGCCGCAGGTATCAGAAATCATGCCAAATGATCCAACAGGAATGGAGGTTTCAGCCGAGTCATCATCACTGCAAATTTCGAGCACATCCCCAGAGCCTGTCCAGAGTAGAGCCATGCAAGTGAGGAAAACCTCCACGAAGGGTAGTCGATCGTCTAGTGCAAGTTCACAGAAGTCATTGCCCCCCGTACAGCCTACTCATCGGAATCGGTTTCAGGGTGTGTTGGCAGATCAGCAGAGTTCGATACGAAAGTCATCGTGCAGTTCGAGTGTAAGCGGTTCGGAACAGTCCCATCGTGGCCCGGGGTCGGAACCAAAGGTTGAATTTCAGCATCACCAGAGCATCTTTGATCAAAGAACTTTGAATGTTCATGTCGGTGTTGATCCGTCCCAGGTGCTGCAGTTGCAAAGCACTGCACAGTCACAGGTCCATGCACTTGAACAGCAGGCTAGGGAACATGTTCATGCAGTCGAAGTTCAAGCATTAACACATGTTCAATCCGTTGAATCCCAGGCTCAACAAATGGTGAGTGCGGTTCAGTCGGAAGCCAGTGCAACCGTCCGGGAGAACCAGGCCAATGCACAGATAGCCATAGATCATGCCAACTCAAGGGTAAGTCAGTTGGAATCCCAAGCTAGTGAGGTGATTCATCAAATGCAATTGAAACATCAAGCCGAGATTTTGGAACTTCAGGATACTGCCCAAGAAGCTCATCTCCAATCCCAACAGCAGATCAATCAGTTGATGACACAGTTGTCGATTCAGAGTAGGCAGTTGGATGAACAAAGGGTTGAGCAACGGGAACTGCACAAAACAATCAAAGTGTTGCAAGAAGAGGTGACCAATCTCCGGCGTTCGAATGAGATGATGCAGCAACAATCCCAAAATGGCACGGGTGTTGACATTGCCGAATTGATGGCAACGATTCACGACCTCAGGAAAGATGTCAAAGAGGCAGTCAGTCCAAAGAAGGGTGAATCGAGATTGCATTTTCCAATTGCTCCGCCTCCCGTTCCTATGTATGGACAGGGTGAAGCCTATGAAGCTACTGAATATGCTTGTTCAGCATGCGCCGGTTTCGATCCAAGGATGACAACATCACCACCTGCATCCAGGGTCCGTGAACCAAAGTCCCAAGTGTCCAACCAAGGGTATAAAACACCAGGGTCAGGGTCAGGATCAGGGAACATCCCATGGTTTTCCGTCTCCACGACAACTCCAACCGTCAAGCCAACAGGATCTCCGTCATCAGGGGGGTCGAGCAGCGACACGGAGGATGGTGGTTGGCCAAATGGGCCACCAGGAGGGGGTCCCGGAGGGGGTGGCAGTGGTCCTTCAGTGCCCGATTCGCCACATGGTTTAGGTCAGAGCATTGGAGTAGGATCGAATGTTTTGGGTTTCATCACTGAAAAGGATGTATATCGGTCGAAGGACTTATCTCTCATCAAAATAGATTATATCCCAACATCGGCTGCAGATTTTCGAGCTTGGAAAAACACTCTATTGACTCGAGTCGCTGCCATTGACATGACTGGGAGGGAGGTAATTCTAAGTTGGCTTCTTGAAAGTTTTGTGGAAGGGAAAGAACCCCAAGACTTCCTGGACAGCGGTTTGCTGCCACGGCTAGACACGCATTTGAGTTCATTGATGATGGATACAAAGCATTTGCGTGGGGAGCTCGGCATGAGATTTCAGACATATGCCGAATCTTGCCAACTGGCGTGCAAAGCGCCGAGAGGTCGTGCATTCCTTTGCATGATTAGCCAGCATTTCCGACTAGATCTCAATAGAGGAGCAAACTTGGCGCAACAAACTCTTTTGGATCTCACACTAGAGGGTTACACCCCAAAGGATCTTGAGAAGTTTGTAGAGCGGATTGAGTATGTGCTCAATGGCATACCCCAGGGTTACCAGCCGACCGAGACCACCAAATTCACTTGGCTCTACTCGAGGTTGAAGCGATGCAAGTTGCTTCAACGACACATCGATCGGATTCGTGACTCGAGAGAGAACTCGCATGTTCGGTCCTGGGAGTGGCTCATGGGTAAGCTAAAGTCCGCACTCGTCGAGGTTCGAGAGGATCAGAATGAAGAATCGATTCGTGCATCGTTGATGGATAGGACAAAGCCAAAGGCTACTCCGAAGGCCACCGTTGCACAAGGATCTCAGGCATCAGGTTCAAATGGTCAAGATGAATCCAAAGGATTGCCAATCCCGAAAGCGAAGCCAAAGGCAAGAGCCAAGGAGGTTCCGAAGCCAAAGGTCGAGGTTCCAACAGATTCGGGTGGTAAAGGTGGACAGCAGCCAAAGGCTGGTGACAAGAAAGGAAAAGGCAAAGGTGAAGGTAAGAAGGACTCACAAG